CACACACACACACACACACACACACAGACACACACAGACACACACACACACACACACACACACACATACAAGATTGGAAAAGAAAATTCTGTTTTATTGCCCACTTCATTTTTTCTAATATGAACTCTATACACACACACATATATATATATGTGTGTATATGCATATATAAAAACACCCAATTCCCAGTGAAATTCATTTGGAATATAAAAAGTTAATATTTAAAATCATGGAGATTTATGTTTATGGTGGTTTCTTTAAAACAGCTTTAGAACCCGAGCACCATCTGCCTCGTGTTTTATGTGTCCTGCTTTGTTTTTTCAGACCAACCACATGCGGAGTCTGACTGACTTTGTGGAAGTTCAGGCTTGTTACTTTGACCAGTGCAACCAACATGCTCAGGAGCTGCAGAAGCAGCTGTCCAGGTCTGAATGGTCCAGGTTTACTTCACCTTAAAATAAATCTTCACACAACTCAAGTCTCTCGTTGATTCTGCATCCTGTTCGAAAAAACGTATCATGGATTTCAATCAATGTTTTTTATCTGAATTGGGAAAGAAAATTAATTACTGACATTAACGACTAGTTATGATTTTGTTTGTCCTCGCAGCATCCCGGCAGTCCTCTGCTCCAATAACTGGCATTCAGAAATAAGTAATCAGCCCTCAACAAGTCACCATGTCGCCAACGAGCCCACTGGATTAAATCAGGTCACTCCGATTCCAGTAGTCCAACAAATTCCAGACTTCGATCAGGACTCGTGGACTGCACATCCATCATCAGACACACAAAAAATAACAGCAGGTTCATCTGCACACACCGAATCACTGGACCCGACAAATAACAACAACAACAACAACAACAACCACCACCACTCAAGTGACAGCCATGAAATCAGTAACCATGCAGCGGCCAGTCAAGCATTTCACAATGTCCGTGCTTCAAATTCCGAAAATCACACAACAGCTCAGCCGTCAGCGGCCGACAGGACAGTCAGCACGCACGTAACAACCAATGCAACGACTGCTGTGTCTTCAGCCACAGCTGCAGGAGCCAATGGTGCAGGTCATGCAACAACAACAACGTCCTCTCAACCTTCACAACTCAGTGCAGCTGTGCTCCGGCCTCAGGCTGCAAATGCAGCATCTGATGAAACCATGACAACCGGCGCCGTGGCTGATGAGCCCCAAACAACCGATGAAACGGGTCATGATGAGCAGCGCGCCGTTAATGGAGTAGACGTCCAGGAGTCGTCATCGTCAGCCAGTCAGGATGTGGTTGAGTAGAGACTGATATCTGTCGTGGGCTGTGACGCCGGGCTCGTCAGCTGGGAATCACTGTAATGGAGGTTCGGCTGAATTACACCAGTGGAAACTGACATCGCAGAGCTGAGGATACAGACGCTATTAGAATGATGCAGATACTCGATTATTATCACGTGTGGTTGAAAATAAGAAGCTTTAATTAATCCCATAGGGTCGATTCTGCAAAGTGGTTGTAAAAGTGCTTATTTTTCTAGTGCCACAATAATTTCAGCCTGTAGGATCATTCATATATTATTAACGTTGTACGAGCATAATGACTGTTGAGTGTCAGTCCTGTGTCGTTGTAGTAGAGGTAACTGGCCTCAGGCTGCAAGTCAAATCAATATTTATAAAAATGTTGTCTTTATTTTTCACATTCAAGTGAACAAAGAACAACTAATCTCTCTCCGTGCCAAGTGTGTATATTTGTTTGTGTGAATACGTGAATTCATGTGTGTGTGTTCATGTCTGTCTGTGACCAGTGTGCAACCCGTCACTTGTGTTTACAGCTCCGCCCCGAACATTCAACACCTTTAGAAAGAAGTGTGTGTGACTTTGTACGAGTTGAAGTCATTTTCCATATGAAAACTTGTGTGTGTGTGTGTCGCGGAGCCCAGCGAGGCGACAAAACACCCGGACTGAACAGGATCTTTATGCTTTGGCATGATGCAAAATATTCCTCCTCGTTCCTGCTCTGGGTGTGTCCCCTGTGCACATGTCAAATCACACTCTCACTTCCACCCCCCTGTGAGTCTCCGTTAGGTGAAATGGGTAGAACTTTCCGTGGCCAGATGTTGTTAATTTTCTCAGTGAGGGCAGCCCCTCTTTACTGTGGCGTGGATCCACTCTGGAGACCCTGGATGGAAACATGTTGCTGTAGCGTTGGCTCTTGACGTAATCACTGACTAAGCTCTGTGCTTTTGTCCCAATTTGTAGAGATGTGTGTGGGTTTCTGCAGAGCTTCAGTGCTGCTCTGTGCCAGTTTTAAACTGCGCAAGCATGCAGTCATGATCACGTTGACGTCAGGGCAAGTATTGAATGTATGCATCTGAAAATGTGCAAATAAATCTGCCAACAGTGATGTTACGTCCATTGAAATCAAGAGTGGGGTCTGTATTTCTTTCCCAGTTGAGGTTTCTGTGTTGTTTTCTCGTTTAAATCTTCTGCTTGTCGTTCCCTGATATTCTTTCCTCCAACCAAACCCGTCGTCACACAAACACACACAAATTATATCCAGGTTAAGGTCAACTGTTGTAATATATCACATCTCACTAATTAACACCATCCCCACACTGTAAAGCTTGGCACGCTTCACTATTATAACCACACAACACTTTATGATGTCTGGTGGAGTATGATACACACCTCAACCTCTTTAGCTCATTCACACACATTGAAACACGACTCCGAAAAACACTCTCAAAAGTGTGATTCTACTGTTTCCTGCTCTCACTTCCTCACCTCTCTCCAGTCCGAGGCTGTTAAAACTGAATCGATCGATAAAGCGCAGGTTATGTGATATTGATCTCAGTAAAGTCCAGAGGCCTGTGCTTCAATATCTTCATAAACTCTTATATTACACCACTATATCAGCGCCACGTTTTTTCGAGGGGCCTCACAGGAGGTGCAGTCAGTGCTTAGAGACAGATTCAACTGTGTTCTGTCCCCGCAGCTTTCCCCATGACTCAGCCAAACAAGAATAGATTCTCCTCCGATTCCGTCCCTCGCTGCTCATCAGTGTTTTTCTGCAAATGCTCGTTACATTTCCGTCTTTTAAAAAAAATGTTTTTATCATTTCCCGGAATCTGTCAGTAAATGCGGCAACTCTCTCTCTCTGGTCCTCGTGTGATCCAGGAAGGAAGGGGAAGCTGGAGTCATGTTTTGCAGACTGGTTGAGATGAGTGAGTTATGCGAGAGCTAATAAATAGAGCTGGGAGGCTTATAAATACATTTCTATACCTGAGGGGACACAGACACATATATAGATACAGTTTATTGTTTTATTTTAGTTTTATTTCACAACATCCATTACCTCAAACGATTTATTTTAAGGTCGAGGCGACTTGCTCAAGAGATATGCTCAAGACAGCAGAGTAAATTAAAACCATGATAATCACAACTATAACTAACTTCTCTGTATAAATAGGCCAATAAAAGTTGTCTTGGATTCAAAATATCAGTTTGCATTCCTTTTGCAAACTATTCCAAATGACTGAAGGAGAAAATGTGGATGGTTGTTGTTATCTCTACATATCTACAGCCAGAAATAAGAACAAGTCTTGTGATCTTAGGAAAAATATGTTCTAAAAATAGTATTAAAATGTCCTGAATGGTTTTATAATAGCTTTAGAAATAGTCCACATCAAGACTGGGGGGTCTGTCACACAGAATGCTTCGTGCACAGTACAGCTAAAGCCTGATATATGGATGTCAATACATTTGAGTTGTTAAGCAGTAGAGAAATTGAAATACTGACCTGATGATGGCACCGGATAAAAAGTTATTAGATAAGTTAGTATTCACTCCTTTTGCCTTAAAAAATAAAAGCAGACCAAGCACAGAGCCTTGTGGAACTCCATTTACTACAGTAGAGCAGTTTAACATGTGCTAACTGGTTTCAACTGTCGACTACTGATCCAAACAATCAGAGGCCTTACTCAGCTGTTTTCAGTAATAGATTGGTAATCAGTAATACACCATTTATGGATTGATATTTATAAAAATATTTCTTACAATTACTTTTTTGTTTGGCTGTTTGCTGTATTATCATGTCTCCATAGTTTTCTCTTCTATATTGGGGACAAAAAAGGGAAACACCCAACACTGCCACACAGTTCTAGTGAAGCCTGTGTTTGCTCACTTTATAGCATCAGAGTCAGTCTGTGGTTTGTTCATAAGTGAAGTCCTGTTGCTGTTTTAAAGCATCTGTTTTTTAGCCAGCGTAAATTCGAATGACTACACCCACTGTCCCAGTTGCATCTCTGGTTTCATCAGGACAACCCAGAAAACAGGATCTGTTCCCTCTCTGGTCTGATTAAAGCTAGTGGTGTACTTTCCACAACAACCAACTTATATCACCTCTACCTCCGTCTTTTCCCTTCCCATCCTCCTTTCTTCACTTGTTGTTTTCTTTTTCTGTTCATCTCAAATCACTCCTCCCCCTCACTGTCAGCTGCGAGTGTTTTTTTGTGTGTGACAGACAAAGTGTACGTGTGGTGGGCAGGTTGGTAAACAGCGTCTGGTGGCTGCTGATGCATTTATTTTTTTCCCCGTCTTCTTCAGTTCTTTGAAAGATGTTAGGGATCATTGACTTCTAGGTTTGGAACCCAATTAAAGTAATTAAAGAAAATTTAAATCTGGATGGCACAAATTGTATTCTTCAGAACAAAGAACAAATGTAACGTGATGGGTCTGCAGACTCAGAGATCTCTTCACACTGCATGCTCCTCCTGGAAGGATGAAATATTGATTGACACAGAATTGTCTGATTGGTCTAAATGTTTCCCAGTCACCTCTGAAGGGGTTGCTAGCAAAACAGTGAATTATCTGAGCTGCTCGTTATCAATGGGAAATGCCGCTTTGACCCAATTGGTCTTGAAATGCAGCCTCCGAAGGATGCAGCCCCTGAATTGAGGCACAGTTTACTGCCTCCTCAACCGACCTTGAAAGATATCAGTCCTTTAATGATAATTACGAAAAATATGTAAGAGGGGCACCGAAGAGCAAAAGATAAGAACAGCTTGTGACATGCACCAGATTTTACACTCTGTGCACCTTTAAGTTTTAATTAACATGTATAGCTTTCATGGAGGGATCCTGATTCCATTCATGTCATGGAGTTAAGCCATGGAGATGCACACACACGTGCACTGTGGGGTATTTTTAGTGCAGTGAAGAAAGGAAAATGTACGCAGATATCCTCTTTCCTTACCAGTGTTAACAATCCAGCTCTCCATTTCCATCCCTCCCTCTTCCTCTGCAGGTTCTCCCTTTTTCCTGAGATAAACCTGCCGGCTCTCGCTTCAATTAGTCCCTGTGCTACGATTATAGCTCGTCAGAAGGACAACATCAGACATAGTTACTGGCAGACTGCTGACATGTGCTGTTGGGAGCTCAGTCTGGACGTCTGCAGAGAGAAGGAAGGTCAAGGCTTTTCCTCTGACCTTGACATGTCCTATTTCTGCTACTTAACCCCAACACCTGTTCACCAGAGCACCGTTGTCCGTGAATGAGATCATTTGTCCTAAATGAGACGAGGGAATCTGCTGAATCATCTTTACTGAATGTCTAATCAACAGTGTTACCAGGCAGCAGAATACGATGACAGCCAGAGAGAACATTTACCGTGTTGCTATAACAACTGCATTTCATCTCAAGTGGTAAAAAACATACTCATTGCAAGATTAACATTTAATCCTGACTCTGCGATGTTGCAATTTATTTTTCTCTTTATGTTAAGGGATTTGGTTTCGACCCGCAGAGCAGGGAGTGACTCTGAGTCATCAGTGAAAAGGTTAGAAAGGCAGACTGAGCTAAAGTGGTAATTGAAATGTCCTGGAAACAATGTAAATGCGAGTGGACGTGACTCTGCAAATACAAAAATCGGAAGGTCGGTACAGTGGTCTACTTCCAGTAATGCCACAAAAAGTTCCCATTTGTAGGGATTTTTAAAGAGAAATTAATTTTATAAAGCACATTTGTGGGTGGGCTTCTAATTTAAATGTTATATATTATGTTATTTTTTTCAGTGTTGCTTCTGCTGAGGCATTTTTTCTTATTCTCATTCTCTAATTTCTCCTTTTTTTAATAAGCTTATATAGTATGTATTTCTTTTTCTTGGTATTATTTTGTGTAAAGCCTGGAGCTGAATTTTAATGTGTTATCCCGTCTTGTGTCTCAAAAATAGAGCACGTACCTTGAACTCATGAATCTCTCTGAAGCACAAAAATCAAATTACATATAAAGTGAAAAATAGAAAAAAGAGATTTATTAGAGTGAAGGTTTGGTTACTTTACAAGTCGAATAAAAATCTCTGGAGTAATTTTAAGCGTTTCCCCTGACCCTGAGTGAATGTGAGTGGAAAAGTAAAAAGTACGTTTGTTTGTTTTTGTCAGGATTTAACATGAATTCTTTTTAAAGTTCCCTTTATTCACCCCAGTTCTCCCAGTACGCCTGTAATTCTGCCTCTTTCCTCACAATGCCCCTATTTCCCATTCAGTTTGACTTTTGACAAAGTACCTCCACTGAAGCATTACTCACCCAACCTACACAGCAGCACCCCCACATCTGTCCCACCCTCCCTCACTCACCCTCCTTCTTCCCTCTTGCTGAGTTTATAAGTCAGCACCCACAACAGTTGGCTCAGTGTTAAGAGCTTTACATCCAGTGGAGGGTCAGAGAGGACATCTGATATTATTCACAGAATATTTTTGCGATATTCTTACCAGGCACGCATTCGAAGCTTCATCATGCATGTGTTCAGGGTCTGTCACATGCTGTGTGCGCTTGTGGCTGCGTCCTTATGTATGAACGAGGTTGAGTATGAGGGGAACTACGCAGACGACTATGAAAATGAGATCTCTCAGGACCAGCAGGAAAGTGAGTTTTCTTTGCCTGTTCTTTTTCCTGCTTGTTCAAACATATGGCTCATTGTGAAAAACACTGTCTCTGATTTTCCTGCCTGATTTAATCAAGCCAATTTTTATATTTTTATGTTTTGATTCAAGATTCATTCAAAGTGCTTTATTAGAGTTTGATGGTAACGCTGGTGTCCCACAAGGCTTTATTCTTGATCTACTTCAATTCTCTGTGTAACAAAGATGCAAAATCACTTTGTAATGTAAATTTTTTGTGCAGATACATCTTTATCTCCCAGAAAGGGTTTACTCATCTAAAAAAGGTCTCTGCTCTCACACCAAATCACTTATAGTGTACATTTATGGGACATTAAAGCAAAAACAAACCAAGCTATGGGGAAATTAATTTGTTTGTTTTTCGCAAGTTAAAGTTAGAAAACGCTTTAAAATCACAAATCCAATCACAAAGATTTAAATACTATCCTCAATTATATTGAATGCCACATGGAATAGTTTTCTTTAATGTGAAACCATTGTATTGTGTATGTAAATTGTGTCTTGAGAATTTCTGTCTTATTCCATGATTATACTCTACACAGTATAGTGTTCTATATTCCAAAAATACTTTCAATAAACCACCGATGAGATGATTTCCAGCTCTTAAATGTATGTGTATGGACAGTGGAAGAAGGACATCAATGGGGACTATGCTGTTTTGTGTATTGTACCTTTTCCATAACTTAAAGAATCTCATGCTGTAGTCAATCCAGAGAACATGAGCTGGTTGGCTAAATCACTTATAGTCACTGGGCTACCATTTAACTATGTGAGTTTATGAAGTAAATATTTGTACTCTATGAAGAAGTACTAAAAAAATTTTGTTACGTATGATTCCAAGATTTGTATAGTTCTCTTCAATTTTCCATCACCAAAAGCACTTTGCTGCACCGCAGTATTAGTGAGTTCCGCTGTCTTGGCTCTGGAAACATTTGTTCTTTATGACCATAATCTTTTGTTGGTTTACAAGAATATCTGTGTTCAAACCAAACTTTTATATAAAAATGTTGTATCCTTGAAAACATTGATTTATTTCTCATTTCCTCTAAATTATCATCCACTTATTACCTGTTGTCTTGCTTAATACATTTAAGTACCAGAACCAGTTACTACACTGATAGTATTTGGTAATATTTGGTTTACATAAATGTTTATAACCTTATAGTTGTCTGTCAGACTTTATAAGTGACGCCTCCCTGTGGTTGTTGTCTACAGCGGAGTCTCAAACTGCTCAATGCCAGCCTGCAGATTTCTCACGCTGGGACAAGCTCTTCATCGCTCTGGAGGACTCACACATGAGGCAGAACATGCTGCTGGCGTCTCTGGAGCAGTGTCGTGGAGGAATGGTCTCTCTCAGGACCCAGGTGGAGAAGATGGCCAGGGGGACGTGCCAGCAGTGTGTACCCAGCGTGGAGTCAGCGTGCAGGGCCCAAGCGGAGCAGGCGAGTCTCAGTCTGCAGCAAGGTTTGGTGGAGCTCAGGCAGGAGGAAGCAGAGAGGGAGAGGAGGTTGAACGCCACCATGCAGATGCTCCTGCACAGCAGCCGCGAGGAGAACGCCTTGCTAAGGCGGCCTGAAGAGGGCAGAGGTCACCGAGGGGTGTCATCAGGGCCAGCAGACACTAGGACCAGACACCAACCGACACCAAGACCTGGAGGTTTGGGGGCAGTTTTCAGCTCGGGGACGAAGCCTTACCCATCTGGCCTGAAGGAGCAGGAAATAACTCCACCACTGGACATGGCCACGATGGAACGGGCCCTGGTCGCCATAGCAACAGAGCTGCAGAGGGTTCACCTGCAGCTGAGCGAAGTGATAGAGCAGGCGGGAACGTCGAGGAAAAACAGTGGAGACACATGAATCCACGAGAGGGGAAGAATAATGGAAATAGACTGGGAACACTGCAGTGATATTGATTTGCACATTCTCATTTTTATGTTGTTTTTCTTAATGGCCTTTTTTAATACAATACAATTAAATTGTGGTGAGTTCATTACAATGAATAAAAGCTGATTAAACCACCTAATCAGACACATGGAAAGGTTTCCTCTCTCCTCCCACACACTATTCAACTGCATATTCTTACACTGTCCACACTTTCATTTGTCTCAGTGGGTGCATGTGCTTTGCAGAGTTTACACCATCGCCTCAGAGTTTGTGTGGTTGTGGTGATTGTCTGCAAATAACTTCAACCACAAGTGAGTGTGTCAGAGGATTAGCACACTGTTTAATTCTGGGCAGGTCTCTCTCTCACTTATTAGCTGCTTTAAGAGTCTGAATGTAGGAGACCACGACTAACAGTGCTCTGGGTGTTTATGATTTATGAAACCCTGCCAGAACCGCCGCCCGTCTACCCTGCAGCCGTGCACACACACACACACACACACACACACACAAGCACACATATACTGTAATAAAACACATAGAGTGGCTCGTCTTGACCAGAAGTACTTTCCATATATTTTACAGTTTCTGTAAAATGTTGAGCTGGAGCTTTAATTTAAATAAAGTAAAAATTCTCCATTACAAGTATTATCAGTAAAAGTTACTTCAAGGTTAATGTGCAGCAGAAACAAACCTGTCAACGACATTTTATATATTACTTTATATTTATTACTGATGGAATAACCACAATTTTAGTCTCAAACCAGGTCAAAGAGGAGCTAATATCAAATGATTCATATATTTTTAGTTTACATAAATCATAACTCTATGAACTCGACCTAGTTTTTTATGTAAAATCTGTATCACGGGAGCATTTGTTTTCATTAAAAGTCTCCATCTGTGAGGATTTTAATGAATGGGTGCTTTGTCGTGTGTTGCTCATTCGTTTTAATGGAGAGACAAAGCAACAAATGGTGAAAGCAGGAGGCAAATGATGAGGAGAATAGAGGAGGATAGAATCAGGTACTATCGGACAGGTATAGTTATTACACATAATGACAGTTCCCAGAGTTCAGAACAGGGTTTTTATCAGCCAGCTGCCCAGACACAGCCGCCATCACTCTCGCTTTCTGCTCCCTTTCCATTCCAACCCCCTCTTTCATCCCTGTTTCGTCATCTGCCATCACTCTCCTTCCCTCCCTCCTTCTTATCTGTATGCCAATGCCATCATCTGCTCGCTCTCTACCCCAATTTATCTGTCGACCAGCAGCCGAGCAGATAGCATCAATCCTCGGCCAAACCTCAGCTGGCTGCTAGAAAGTGACCGATATCACGCTCCTGTGAAATCTTGACTACAAGTGGCTTCAGGAATGCATTGTGTTCATCAGAGAGATTTTAATGTCACATCACATCGTCACTAAAACAGACAACACAATATTGGCACTTTCCCAAAAGCAAAAGAGGACGATACAAAATAGATAAAGCTCCGATCATGAGTATAGCAGTCTCTTATGTACACTGGAAATGATCTGTTGATGGAGGGAGTGAGAAGAAGAGAACATGGACGTGTGAAGAGAAGAGAGACGGTGTTCATTTGATGGGCGAGTCCAGAATCTCTTCATATTCCTCCCGCTGGCGCCGCCCGCCCCCTCGGGAGGGCAGCAGCTTCATCACCACCAGCCAAACAACGCTCAGTATGACCATCACGTTCCCGACGACCTCAGGTGCAGTGGGAACCAATGGCAGCACGGCCAGATGCAGCAGCAAGGCAATGGGTACCTCCAGGCTCTGAGAGGCGGACACCAGAGCCGGATGGAGGCGTGTGAGCGCGTGCGTCATCCCCAGGAAGGCTGCTACCGAGCAGGCAACCAGGCCCAGGACCAGGCCCCAAGCTGTGGCACTCACGGGCCAGGACCAGCCCTCCTGGAGCAGAGCCAAGGAGGCTGGGGCGAACAGGCAGCCCGTCCAGCTTACTGTGAACAAAGCTGTGCCCACTCCCACCCTCTCCTTCAGGGAACGATACCCGACCAGTGCCAGCGCCATCCACAGTCCTGCGAGCACAGAGAGAGACCAGCCAAAAGCACCTCTCCAGAACACAACCGGGTCAGTCGGTGAATCTGAGTTGCTCTCATCTACTGTGGGAAGTAACACAAGGCCCAAACCACACAGCCCTGCAGCTATGGTGATCCCATCAGCCAATCCCAGCCTCTCCTCCAGGAGCAGGAAGGCCAGTGTTGCCGACAGCGCTGTGGTCGCCAGGCGCCAGGTCGTTGTGGCGTTTCCGGGAGAGACAAAAGTTAAGGATGAGTAGGCGCAGCAGAGGGAGAGCGAGTAGGCGATGCCGTAACAGAGCAGCCGCAGGCGGTAGCCCGCTGGTCCGAAGGGGTTCTCCCCCTTGTGCAGTGGTACAGCCACAGAGAGGAGCTGGACGATGGATCGAACTAAGAGCAGAAACAGGGGGCCCAGGCTGAAGCGTTCGGAGGCCAGACGGGTCAGAACAATCAAACAGCCGTGAGCCAGAGCAGCACAGAGCAGCCCCACCCAGGTGAGGCGAGACGCAGACACAGACGCCTCCCCAAAACTGGCCAGCTGTTCCCCGACCCCTCTTCCAGACCCCTTTGCTGCTTTGGCCGCCACCTCGCTCCCATCTGCCCCCACGGCAGCCTGAGGTTTGTGGGCCGTATCCTTGTCTTTGTCTCTGGAGCTAAACAGAGTCAGGGGCCACCTCCTGCTCTCCGTCAGCTGTTTCTTGTCTGACGTCTCCTCCAGGAAAGAGCCAAAGTCCTCAAAAGACGGGGCATCGTCATAGCCATCGTCCCCGGGTTGAGGGAAGTGTGTGTGCACCCCAGGCTGAGGGGAGTACGGGGTGTGCGTGGCGTATTTGGCTGTGACAGTGTGAGGGTGGATCTTTACTCTCTTCTTAGAGCTGCCCAGGAGGTGAGTGGACTCCATTTTGAAAAATCAGAGAAGAGAGACACCTGTGAGGAAAACAAAGAAACATGTTTTTAGAGCGACATACAAGATACAGTATATTTGACTCATGCTCCCTCTGGCAGTGTGTCTCTCTGGGATTCTGCTTGGTATCTCATTCATCTTTAATATCCAATATAAGAATAGCAGGGAATGAAATGTACACAAGCTCTGAGGAATCACAACTGGTCTTTTCTGCTTAAAGTCACATCAGGTCCATGTCAGGAGAAACATATGGAACATTATGACAGATGCAGCAACGGTATTATCCGGCCTTTCAGTCTGCTGGGATGCCAGAGCCTCCATGGGCGGCGTTAGAGACCGTTGTCAATGACAGTTACATAACCAATGGCTTCCTGGCTAATTTGTCTTTTATCGCTCTCCGTCTCGTCTCTTCCCCTCCCCCTTTTTCACTCCATACACCCAAGCAGGGAAAATAGAAAAAAGAAAGTCTCTGTGCACATCAGTCTGTCAAATTTTACTTTTCTTAAAACAGGTTCATCTCCCTCCTCCTTTCTTTCTCCATGCCTCCAACTTTTCTCCTCAGGGTCCAGCTCCACGGATGAATAACTTATAACTGACGTGGTTTGAGCTCTGCAGCAGAACAACATGGCCGTGCAGGTGCTATAAGGCAGGCTGCTGCATTAGAGGTTGTAAAAGGCTCAGCAGTCCACTGGTTACTGTGCAACTGGAGGATAATTTCACATGTCGTGGAGTTCATTCACACCAAAGCACATTCAGCATAGTGCTCAATTATTTCCCGGGTTTTTCTAGGTATTACTCAACAGTCATTTTTCTTTTTCATCATTAATCTTATTGTGTTAACGAAGAATTATACATGTGGAACAAATATGCAAAAGACAACACTTTATTGTCTTTGATCAAAATTGGATGACGAATGAATAAAATGTCTTATTGTTGAGATATGTTAGTCTATGAATAAAAAATGTCCCCAAGTCTAGTTTCTTGAGGTTCTTGACTTTATTTATTCATCAGTTATAATACCAAATAAGGTAGTAAACAGAGGCTAATGATAAATCTTACCTATATTTTACCCCAAAACTTGGTTGAACAAATTCCTATTCTCATGGTTTCACTCATCATGCCACCCAGCCTTGACAATTATCCCACATGTATGGAAAATGTGACTGATATCAGGTTTTAAAAACATCATTGCAGGTTTGTAACAGTTAACTGAGCAGTTTAAATGTCTGGGTGAACGTTCTGACTGCGGCAGAATTAGCGGCGGACTCTGCTCTCTCCAGAGATGTGAAGTATTCTCACTTTTAAGCCTGAATTGCACCGTTGCAAATTACAGCAGCGAGGAGGGTCACGGTGCGAGTGCTCTCTGCTGTGAGCTTCTCTCCGGTAAATGGCAGGTGCTTATAAATTATTTATTATAAAATGGGCTGTAAATACCTGGCTTTAAAGATATAGACTCTGAGGATATTATCTGTGGATGATTTAAAAGTGACACTTTCTTTCACTTCCTCAAAATGAGACCTAAAATGCATGAGATGTGAATCTGGATTTGGATAAAATGCTAAACTGCAGCTTTATAATTTCACAACTTCACTTCACTCGTTCATCAGAGCAGGGGTAAATAGCCAGAGGCACAGGAAAACATTTGAGAGGATCTATTCATCTACTTTCACCAAAGATCAGATGAAATCTGACCGGCTCAAAACACAAAAGGGCGAAAAAGGGATCAGGATGTTCCTGTCTGGCTCTTCTCCGTCTGTAAAATTTACTGTTGTGGCTGTCGCCTGCCTCTGCAATGCTGCTGCTGCCACTGCTGCTCCCCTCAAAAGCTGGTTTCCACACCTTATGAGCCGTTAACACCCAAACCCCCCCCGACCCAATGAGAGGATGAGATGCAGGAGATAAAGCTCAGAGGAGTGAGGATGCTCTCACTATCAATTAAACAGTGGACAATGTCCTCCCTGGGGTGTCCACATGCATCTTCTACTATACTTATTTTA